CGTTGAAAATGTTTTAAAGGCTTTCATCAAAATAGGCTCACGTTATTTTAGCCTAGCAGGTAAAGAGGTGGGTATTCTTACAGTAGAATAAATGGCAAACAAATTCATATATACATCTAAAATAYGCATATACGTATAAACGTAATTACAACATAAAGCTCGTGTAATTGGTGTATCATAAGAGATTTGYCTTTACTATTTGGTAAACAGTCGCTCGGGCCTTGTCACTACGACCCCCTTTGAGGTCTATGTKAACTAATATTYCTTCTGCTTAATGGATAACCAAGAAATATAGGTCGGTTTGCCATCCACACCAGAATAAATAGAGTTTTCCGACCAGCCCACATCACCATTCAATATTTMTTGGCCCACTATCAGTCAAACCAGCTTTTTTTTCTGAGATGACTCATAGACCTTACATATTGGGATTATATATCATCAATGAATGGGCCCTCTTATTTTATGACTACATGTTCCATTAGTAACATTCCTTTGTGACAGATTCAAGACTAGAAACCGTACCGGCTACCGGTTCCATCTAGGAAACGGTCGGTATGCCACCCTTTTGCCCGTAGTTCCGACAGCAATCTAGGCATCATGGTGTTCATCTTCTCATAAGCCACTTCCACCATTTCTACCTCCCGATTTTCCACCACTGGAGAAGCTAATGCCGCCACCAACCACCCTCGTAATGCATCTTCGCCGCTAGCGTTCTGCTCTAACACCATGTCTGTCCATCGGTTTCCGAACTCCAAAACAAATTTTTCATCTGGAAAGATTTCTTTAAATTGCTCAAGTCTTGAAGGCTTTATAACCTTATGCAAATCTCTGCCCACTTTCACATTTCCAGCTCCTTCTATAACTCTCTTTGGAAACAGAAGATCTTCTCTGTACCTCAGGTCTGCAGGACTTGATATCTTTCCTGTCTGAATCATATAAATGACCATTTTATATCGAATGATATTTACAATATTTGACTAATAATCAAACAATTTCATTAACCCATTCGAAAATGATGGCTTCWACAACAAGATCAGCTTTATGGAACGCCAAATATGTCTAAGGGCCTATTTGTTAGCAGCTTAATGGGACTCGCAACTTATAAGACTCGAGATAATAGTACCAAACGATAAGCGTCCTTTCTAAAAGTGTTGCAATAAGTTTATACWACATTTCCAAATCAAAATATCGCTTTGTTATTTTATAAGACACTATTTGAAAAAGAATAGCAAAACCAAATATCCTATAAAAATATGTGWTTATAGGAAACATCAAAAGTGTGTTATCAAATGGCTAATACAATGTCTTATTTTTTAAATGTCCTTAAAATCTTGTYAAGACGTCCAAAAASGTCCTACAAACTTATTACAACATTTTTAGACAGGACACTTTATTGTGTGGTTCTACAAACTTAACTCTCATAAAACGATCTATTATACCACTTAGACATTGTTGGTGTCCTAGAAWCTTTGTTGTAGTGTAGCTTTTTATACGACCCTTCTGAAAGTGTCCTTTGAACAATTGAACACAGCTTTTTATAGGACCGTTGTTTTGATAGACAYTTTCTCAAATAATGTCATATAAAAAGTCTAATGGGACATCTTATTTCAAAAGTGTCCTAAAGAACTGATTAAGACACCCAAAATCATTCTCTCAACTTATTGTAACACCTTTACATAGGACACACAATTTTTTGATMCTATAGGCTTAAGTCCTATAAAACAGTCTATTAGGACATTTAGACATATTTGRCATAWGATTTTGTTGTAATTCTCAAAACCTACATAACATTTGTTTTACCAACCTCTAAGAAATCTTCTATGATCATTGCAGTTCGTTGTGGATTCAATGTGTTGACCGGAGCAGCTCGCATTTCTTCGTATGTACAATAAACATGTACTGCAGAAAGGAAAGGCCCGACAACCATCTGTAAAGAAAGAGTAAAGATTAGATTATAGAATATGGATACAAAAATTTCTGGTAAAAAGAAGCAGGTGTCAGGTCCCACATCGGCTAGACTTCGACGATTTCTGTTCAATATATGTGGGAATGTCTCTTCTCTCCTCAAGTGCTCTTTTGGACACTAATCTAATGGAGTCCCACATATTCTAACAGCTCCTCAATATATGTGGGAAACTTCCTATTCTGCTCAAAGACTCTTTTGGACAGTTATCTGAGGGGGTCTCACATATTCTGACAACTCCTCAATATATGTGGGAAACTTCCTTCTCTACTCAAATGCTCTTTTGGACAGTAACCTAATGGGGTCACGCAAATGACAGCTCCTCAATGTACGTGGTGAACTTCGTTCTCTACTCAAGGCTCTTTTTGGAAGGTAATCTCATGGGGTCCCACATATTCTGACAGTTCCTCAATGTAAGTGGGAAACTTCCTTCTCTACTCAAGGGATCTTCCAGACAGTAATCTAATRAGGTCCCACATATTCCAACAACTTCACAAGGCAAGTGGGAAACTTCCTTCTCTACTCAACGGCTCTTCTAGACAGTAATCTAATAGGGTCCCACATATTTAGATAGCAGAAAAGGAATAACTATTCGGTTTCTTTTGCAAGTGAAAATGGATTTTACTTTTACCTTCCCYTGCATTGATGAACAAATGCTAGAAACTAACAAAATCCCTGCTCCCAATCCAACCACATTGAATACGGTGGAAATCGCCTCTCCCTTTGCATATAAATCACTAAGATTTCCTTCTTTGGCAAATGAAGAATAAATCGGCAATCTTGTCGCTCTTGCAGCAACCGTGGCCATTCCCTGTCAAATTATGCCAATGAGATGTGTTATCATCGTAAAGGCATCTTCACAGTTCTCACAATATAAAGGTATCTTCACAGTTCTCACAATATAAAGGTATCTTCACAGTTCTCACAATATAAAGGTATCTTCACAATTCTCACAATATAAAGGTATCTTCACAGTAGGGGTGCTCAAAAAACCGACCAACCAGACCAACTAGGCCAACCCAACCCAAAAAAAATTAACCCGAGGTAACCTGATACATAATTGATACAAAATTAGGCCAAAACYGAATCTATTGGGTTGGAATTGGGTTAGGATGATTTGAAACCCACCCAACCCGATGAACCCGATGCCTTTCTATACTATGAATTCAATATGATTGTTGTGTCYTTGATTAATATATGTAAAGAGGTAGGAAGACTTTACCACATATATAATAGGTCCTGGGTTCAATCCYGGCCCCCACTGTCCTCAGCTGTTGAGCGAGCCAAAAAATACCCACTCACATTGGCGTCCTTGGAGGCGGGTCGTGTGGGGCCGGTTAGGTTTGCCGGTAATCAACTTTTTGCCCAAATATATGTAAATTAGACATTAGACGAACCCGTAACTAATTATATTCAAAATTATATTACAATTTCAACCGTAATTTTCCTTTCTTATTTGCGTAAGCCTTCCAACTTTTTTTTTTAGTTTGTTAACCTTTTTTGTATGTTCTCATTTTGATTTTACTTCGTTTAAACACGAACGTTGTGCTAGATTGTAAAATGATGTACCAAATTTTCGCCGACCAACCCAACCCAACCCGCATAGGTTGGGTTGGGTTGAGTTGAAGTTTTTCAAACCGCAAACAWTGGGTTGGGTTRCCAAAGGGMCTTTGGCCTARCGGTATCGTAGCCCTTGGCCTTCTAGGAGGTCAGGGGTTCAACCCTCACCATAGGTGAGGAGGGTGTATGAGTTTATTTGTTGCATTTGCCGTATATAAATATTATATACTTCAAAAAAAAAAACATTGGGTTGGGTTGTTCAAATGCCTTCAACCGGCCAACCCAACCCATGTGCAACCCTACTTCACAGTACCCACCAGAACCCAACCCATAATCATTCATCACCAATTTACCTTGGCAAAATTCCCAAGTCCAGCCATTTCAAGAAACAATTGTGGACATAAAGGTGAAAGAACTTCCAAACCCGTGCCCAAGTCGTAAAGCACATCAGCTACAAGTTGAAAACGCCATAAAAGTTAGTATTTCAGTGATAAAGGTAAATAAAGAAAGAAAAAAAACACGTGTTTGCTAGAATGGTTCAGACCAAAAATCCGCCACCGTTTGGGATCAGAATCCATTCTTGCACCTAAATTGCTACATATTAGCTTTCCCATATGCTGCATACCGTCTTTAAGTATCTGTTCGACACCATCATAATCAATTAAAGGTTTCCAAACGATTGACATTTGTTAAGAGCTCTTTCTCACCCAACTAACTGCCGTTGCTTGAGCTGGGGAATGTCTCAATCCTGCARCAAATAACAGTGACTGCAAAAAGACTAAGATCAGTAAACCGTATCCACATGATCACTCCAATCAAAACCAATTTGYGACCCACTACGACAAAATAGCTTYATAGGACGCCAAATATGTCTAGATGTTCTAATAGACTGTTTTATACGACTTAACTTTATAAGACCAAACAATAGTGCATCCTACAATAAGTTAATAGGGTGTTTTTGGACATCCAAATAGCTTTATAGGACGCCAAATATSTCTAAAATGTTCTAATAAACTGCTTTATACGACTTAACTTTATAAGACCAAACAATAGTGCATCCTACAATAAGCTAATAGGGTGTTTTTGGACGTCCTAACAAGTTTTTTAGAGAACTTTTGAAACAAATCATCTTAACAGTCTATTTATATTTCGTTATGTGAAAAATGTTTTATAGAAATCAGTGTCCTGTAAAGAATGTGTTCCTAGTACACTTCTCAAAAGCGTCTTGTAAAAAAGTTGATATACCGTTTTATTTAAATAGTGTCATAAATGAACTTGTTAGGCCTCCTATCAATTTAATGTAACACTTCTACATGGGTTGCATATGCCAGGGGCAGACCTATGAAGGCCCGAGCAGGGTCCCATGCACCCGCTCAACCGATTTTCACAAGTTTCGGCAAAAAAGGTGCACCCACTAAACTTTTGAGGGGTGCTCCGGGATATTAGAAAATTCAAGGAAAATCAACAAAAAGGCCAAAAAATCCCTTGAAATCAACCAAAAACCTGAAAAAGTCTCGAAATCAACTAAAAAACTTAAGAAAACCCTCAAAGCGGAGGAATTCGGCTAAAAACACATTGGCGACTTTGCGGGTCTTTGATCCACCTTAAAGGTGCACCCACTAAGCAATATCCACGGTCCGCTGCTGGCCTACGCACAATTGTTTCCTATAAACTTATGTCCTATACAGCAACATTTAGATATATTTGGCGTCCTATGAAGTCGATTTTGTTGTAGTGATTACATAATTCTAAGTATCAAAAGAGAACCTGAGTTGATAACACAGATAATGCTGCACTGGAGAAATGTTGTAATGCTCGAAACTGTGTGTATCTAAGATATCCTTCATTAACACTGCAATAGATTCATTTTCATAAGCAATGGCAATTCAATTAACATTCTACAGACTACAGACAGAGAAATCGATATGAAACTGTTTGATGAACTCACCTATATGGATAACCAGATGGCAAAAAGGTATTAACCAAAGATTCAGCAAATTTATGGACAATTGGTCTTGAATCATTAAGCACCTTCACCTAAAGCAATTGATTCGATTATAGCAAATTAAGAATAACCCTCAGAATTGAATGGGGTTTCTTTGGTGATGAACGATTCTCTCATTCTATCTCCGGTTGACTACAGTCAATTCAAGCAGACAATGGGAATTTAATAAGATGACAAACCMAGAAAACCCTAATTCTAGTCGCATTTGTTGAACAATTCATAAATGATAAGAATACTGACGGAGAGTTGGCCRTCGATTTGAAAGTGGAAGTGACGAGAGATGGTGTCGGAGGTCTCAGTCCACGACACAGACACCGGAGCTACTTCCARCACCGGATTTTCCGGTTGTTTCTTCAGCAGCCCAATCTTCTCCTGCARCCAAAATACGAACAKCCGCCAAATTTTACAAAAAAGRAAGAATCAAACCGAGAGATTTTGGATAAAATAGCGGACAAACCATCAAATTCATGGCGTACAAGAAGAGGAGATTGCGCAGCCCTTGCCGCCGGCAACCAACAATTCGATCAGATTTCGCCGCCGGTCAATTCGCGAGCGGTGCTAATGGGTTCAGACTCCGGTGGGATTTTATCCATCCCTATCAAGTTTAAACTCTACCCTCCAATTTTTAAAATATGCAACTTTACCCCCTTCTTTTACCAAATATCCGTTATTTCCACCTTATAGACTCGTATAATGTTTGGTACGCAAACACGACAGGACAGAACAAGATGACTAGATTGAACAGACAAGATTGGATAGGAAACGTTATTTGACTATTTTTTTTATACGGCTAAGGATTGATAGGACAAAACTAAACAAGTTGACCCAAAAATTGTTTGATTATTTTATATATCATATAATAGTTATAAATGACATAAATCAAGTCAGCGTTTAAATAATTTAATTATAAAAAAATTCTACAATTTTCATATACGTAACTATATAACAGTATTGTATTTGAATAAAAATTTTGATATAATTGATAATAGTTCGAAAACATAGTTCATACAAATGAAAAACTATGTTTTATTTGCTTTGAAAGATACTTAAGAAYTGGTAAAGAGGCATCGAAGACTTGGAGATTGTTGCAACGACAATGATGGTGGGGAAAGAGAAGGTGAAAATTGATGGACGACGATGACTRTAAAAGATATGAAGATGGTGGACAGTGGTGTTGGTGGCCGTGCTTGGCGGTGGTGACTATGGCATCAAACTCCGGTGGAGTGGATATATCAATGTCCATTATTCCCGTTGTGTTTTGTGTGAGCAAGTTTCAGAGCTAGAAAAATCTATAACATTACAAATATACTATAATTTGCTTAAAAGGTGAAAATCCATTGCTGAGCCATAACGACAAGATTCTATAGTAAATTACGTTTAAGAAACTAATAGTATTCGATTAAACTAGCATTTTCACCGATCATCTTCGTTGTGATGCCAATGACCTATATTATTCGACGCAAAGATCATTCCTTTTGGCAATGCATATGCCGACTGCTCGCCCTAGTTGTCATCCAATTGCGGCTTTCGAGTCAAATTCGATAAGGACTCATTGCGATCCCAAGCATCATTGGAGTTACATTTGTGGTTTCGTTGGCAAAGACAGAGGTGAAGAAAGACGACACGAAGGGATGAAGAGGGTGGTTGGGTTTGTCTAGTCTTTTTTAATTACAAATGCTACGTTTATATACTTATACGATAAAATATATTGCAAAATGTCAATAATGCCCTCGCATGCCAGCAACTCCCCGTTCAAACTGAAATAAATCACGTATTTATTTTAAAAMTCAAAAAAATTGTAACAAAATAAAAGAATTTTCAGATCCTTAATTTGGCACTAATAGAAATATACTTTTATTTACATTTTTTTCAGGTTTTTTTTTGAAGTATTATAAAATTTATATACGAAAAATATGATAAATAAACTCACACACCCTTTTCATTCTTGATGAGGTTTTAACCTCTGACCTCTTAAGAGGTCAAAGATTACGATACCGCTAAAGWAAAGGCTATTTGGTTTTTTAGGGTATCTTTACATGTTCTAGTTTATATGATGCATGTAATTAAAATTGTATTTTGTTACTTATTTAATTGTAATTAAAGAATTAATATCAATTAAATTTAATTAGTAAAAAAGATAAAAGTAGAGAGTAGAAACTAAACTTTAAAGCTCTTGTTATTCTCGCTTGCTTATGGTACAACYCTCTTTGGTACATTCCATCTTATTCTTCAAACCCTAAATACACTCCATGCATGCATGCATGCATACACTTACTCAGTTCAAACGAAGAAACCCCCAACCCTGGCTTGTTGAAGAGCTTGGGGAAAACAAAGCGGTTTGCCACTGGTTGTACTTCAGCTTTTGAGCATCTTCTCGACACAACTGATACGCGTTGGCAACAACATCCACCGGCAAGCTTCGGATCGCCGACACACGACCAGAGAGGTTTTCTGTTATGGCGTTTTCATTCGTCCTGAATGAGATCCACCTTGCTCCTTCACCGCCGGCCCTCTTGATCGACGCAAAGTTCTGTGGGACCACCACCACTTGTCCCTTCCGGAGCTCATCGTT